GGGCCCCTCTGTGGGAGGCGCTCAGGAGCGGGGTGTGGTAGCTCTTTCTCGCCCTCTTTATTGCAGAGAGAACAACTGAGATTGGGCGGCTGATCAGCTCCTACCTGGAGAAGGAGAAGAACTTGGAGGATCACACAGTTCATCTGCTTTTCTCAGCGAACCGCTGGGAGCATGTGTAAAGATAATCCCTGTCGAGTTGTAAAATAAAAGTGCATGGTTTTGAATCCTGGGGTTTTAGCATTCAGTGGGTTAATGTGTGCGGAATACAACTGTATTTAGCAAGGAGGACGTGGCTAGAAACAAAGTGGCTTTTAGCACTTCTTACAGCTTTCAACTTCTTCTTAGATTAAATCCTGCAGTTTGTTTTCTGAAATCATTAGGTGCGGTATTTTCAATTTCTGTGCCTATTAGATTGAAAAGTTGAGGAGCTAAGATCATACCAGCCTAGGCTGTGAATGTACTGTTCTCGTCCTCATTTTCTGAAGTTTGTATGTGTGGTAGAATGGTTAAGGAATCTTGATGTGGATCCAGAAATACGCTCAAACTTCCCCTCCTGCTAAAGGCTGTATTCAGCTGTAAATGGCTACCTTGGCCATATGGATGTAGGAGTCACGTTTGTTGGATATGCTCCTGGTCACAGGGCTCCCTTAAGTACTGTTGGTTAAAGAAAATGATGCCTTTAATTGTGCATCCCCAGTGTCCACCTGGGATTAGCAGCCACCTTCTGGGTACCCCAGAGGAGAGGGCAAACTACAGCATCGTCAAGGCTGGGTACAGACTTCAATACAGTGTATGCTACTGTTCCAACTTAGGAGGTGCTGCTCGTATGCATGAGAGTTTTTGGCCAAACTGAGTTTTCACGTGTGCTGTTAGTAACATTGGTGACAGCTGTTGTTTGTGCCTAAGAAGTTACATTGCAAAGTGTTTTTTCACTTTTAAAAAAAGCTTTGCTGATCTTGCTGTAGTGACAGTGCCAAGCAAACTGGGAACACATAAGGCAGGTGAGTAAGTTGTAGTAAGATATTTCCTTGTGGTAGATAAAGGACACTTTCCTCTGACAGAAGCAGCGTGCATCACAAATCTACTTTGGCACATAAAGAGGAAGACTAAACTATTCCTTTCTGAATTTAGTTTGTGATCCAGTCTGTAAATTGGGTAGCTGGATAGAGCAGTGCCCTGCATTGCTGCGTCCTGAACTTGGGTGTCTTGAAAGAGTATTTACTTAACATCTGTGAGAAGACAGACTAGAAATAGCAGTTTTTCTGTGACCATCAGCAGCTGCCCTTCCTGCTGGAGAAAGAGAAGTCCTGTGCCTTCCTTTTGGGCTAAAAAGCATATTGCACCTTTGATTCAGGGAAAGGAGCTTTAAGGGAAAAAGTAGATGGTGGAACTTGAAAAGTTGTTTCAGCTGCCTGATGAATTACTGTGTAACCTTGACACTGCTAATGATCACTGTTTGTGATGAAGCATGTTAAAAGTGCTAACCTGATGAGCTGTCTTTTAGATGAACTTCCTTCATTTATCTACAGAGGAATATAACTCTCTCTAACTCATGGTTTTCAGGCCATTGATGAAAGACAAATTACATCAAGGAATCACACTTGTGGTAGACAGATATGCCTTTTCTGGAGTAGCCTTCACAAGTGCCAAACAGGTGAGTGAGAAACATAGCAGGCCATGCCCCTCTATATTCAGGGGAACAGCTCCAGTTAGAGGCCCAGTGTAAAAGTTGACTTGTGTGGCCCAGGCCCCTTCTGTGGGGAGATACGGACTGAAACTGAGAGATGGAAGGTTCAGTGTAGGGATTGACATAGCCTGTTTGCCTGTGTCCACCCCCTTCCCAAGAAAGAGCAGAGAAACTCACTAGGTTAAACTAATTACTTTTTGCAAATCTGGACAGGCTTCTGGCTGTTAGGAAGTGGCCTTACGGTGCCCACGTGGATAACCAACAAGGGGTAATACAGGGTCAGACAAGCCTGAGCAGTCTGTCTGCAGCATTCTGGATTTGTGTGCCCTGGTAGAAGTCTTAATTTTTCAACAAGATCCAAAAGTTGTAAAGATTGGTCTTTAGTTTCTGGGCCGAAAATCTTGGGTAGGCTGAGAAGGTGTAGGCTGGGTATTTAAAAAGGGCTAATGGCCTTTGTAGCAGGGAGGTTAGTCATTAGTGCTCCATGACCTCAGTGAATATGAGAGGTGCAGAGCACCTATGAAAATCTCTGTCCTAAAAAACTATCAGGACTAAATGCCCAGATGAAAAGGAGGTATTCCCATTTATCAGTTTGTAGGTCTATGCTGATTCAGCCTGCATCTCTTCTGGTTGTTCCTCCCCTGATCAGGCATTCTAGCTAACTTGCTTCTTTCCTTTGTTCTCATTTATTTGTTTAACCTCAAACTTGGTTCTCTTTGACTGGAACAGAACTTCTGCCTGGACTGGTGCAAACAACCTGATGTTGGACTCCCAAAGCCAGATTTGATTCTGTTTCTTGAGTTAAGCCCAGAGGAAGCAGCGGCACGAGGGAACTTCGGGAAAGAGCGTTATGAGAACAGCTCCTTCCAAAAGAAAGTTCTACAATCCTTCTATCATCTGATGAAGGACAAGACATTAAACTGGAAGGTGAGGAAATACGCCCAAATGGGCGTTAGATGGGCCCTGTTGGGGGGAGGAGAAATAATAAGGTTCCCCCCCGTCCCTTTTCTTTTTCCCTCTCCCTCAAGAGCTTTCTAGAAATAGTTTTCTTTCTTAACGACAAACTGACAAACCCAGATAAAAAGCAGTGAGAGATGCATCTGCTCTTCCCTGCCTCAGTTTCCTTGGAATCCTGGAGCATCTGCCATGGACTCTGGAAACTTCAGAGGTTTTGGGGACCCTCCTGCAGCTTGTGGCTCCCTTACTAACAATCACCTTCCTTCTCATGTGGTCAGTTTCCTTCAGCATTTGCTGGCTTAATACACCAGAAGTCTCTCCAAATATGTCTCATTTTCTTCCACACTCCTGCATCACTTCTTATTTTTGTTCATCCCTTGGAGCTATTTGCAAAGGGCTGTACAACTGGCAGAATTATCCCTGAAGAGAAAGTATTTCCCACCTATCTTGTGTGTAGGTTACCTGGATTGAGGCTTTTCTAACCTGGGCATCCTCTTTACCATTTCCATTGCCTTGTCAGTGCTCAGTCATGAGATCTGGGCAGTACCTTCTGTTTGCTCTGTAGTTTCATGCAGACATAAAAGGGGGTACGTGCCCCAGCTCATGGCTAAGTTACTAGTGACTGAAGGCTGGAGATGGATACAGATTTGCCAGATGATCACACTGCATAAGGCAAACGTGTAATTCTTCACAGTCCGCTTCAGGTAAACATGGTTCTGCAGCATAAAAGCTTTTGTGCGCTCTCAGAACTTGAAGAATCTAAATGCATGACAGTCATCAAACTAGGAGAAGTCATACTTCTATTCCAGTAAAAGTTATGCTGGAAAACTGCATTTCCTACATCAAAATGACTAGAAAAATAGGCTGTCAAAAATATGTACCATAACTCAAAAACCAGATTGATAGATAAATATGCTGTCACATGAGAAAATATGAAATTTATACATAGTCTGCAAAACCTGCTTTTTTTTTCTCCAGTAACTTCCAACAGTGGAATACATTTCCCTTATTACCAATCATCTGTTATTTCCCTTGTTTCCTATCCATTACTTGAAAGGAATTCCCATTCATTTCCATTTAAAAATACCCCAAACTGAGCAACTGTCAGATGACCAGAATAGATAGGTGGAAAGTGTCCCTGAAATGGGCACAGAAATCCAGTTTCAGTAAACAGTAAAAGTAGAGTTAGTGTTCCTGGCTATTTTCCCTTCAATATCAGCTAAGAATAACCGACATTAGACATTGGCAAAGAACTGTTTGGTCCAAGACATGAAACATAGTTCAATACTATCAATTACAAAACTAAACTGAGAGATCAGGGATCTGCTTGAGGATGTTGTGCGAGTATGAAACAGCTGGGATCATTGGCTGAGCTGTAATGAAAAGGCTGCCATTTAACCATGAAGTCTATTTATTTCATCTCCTCACAGCCTGCTACTTTTCATCAATACTGTGTGGTCCAGTACTGTATAGGTCATTGACAAATATACACTTGTTTACATCTTTTCACTAAATCCTTTCTTCACCTTGGTCACTCCTAAATAATCTTAGAGCCCTGGGAACAAATGTTACTCTTGACGGTTGTTGTCAATTTGTGGTGATATGCAACCTGCAATTCCAAAGTGACAAGCTTTATTATCAAAAACAATTATTTCTCTTTGGAATTTAACTTTGATGGCAGGCCTCTTTGATTAACTGCTTGCTCTTCTATTGCCTTGTGGTTTCTGTAAAGGTGAAAAGCAGCCTGTTGCCTGAGAAGCAAGGTACATAAAATGACTGTATGTGTAACCCAAGTTCCCTCAACCATAAAGCAGTAATGCTACTATTCTTGAAATGTCAGGCTTAAATCACCATGTTCTGAGAGCTGTAGTCAGTGAACGCCAAAATAGTATAGCACTACTACCACCTTTACTGACTTCAGCTTGCAGTGTTTGGGGTTGGGGGGGGAGACCCACAAATCTACAGCTGGAAAAAGGTTCTTACAGTCATGGGTAGAGTTTACACTGAATAGCCATTGAAAGATCAGCCCACTGAACTTTCAGTGGGACTACAGTGCTGGGTAACGAATGTTTACCTGATGTTAGGTCATATACCTCAAAGACTGTCAGAAAACTTGCATGCAGAGCAGCAGTTTCTTCTGTGTCCCTTTGTTCAGCCACGGATCGACTTGTTAAATGTCTATTGCTAAATAAAATAGGTCTTCCAATTCTACAGCAGAAATAGTGCATAAGAGGTGTAATTAACTGCTCTCATTGCTTATGAATAGTAACAATGCTGAATAAAGTGCGAAGCAGAAAGTAAGAGCAAGGTAGGTTTTCTCATTTGGTGCTGGAAATGAGTGGGTTTTTTTTTCTCTCTTGGAAACAGACAGTGGATGCTTCAAAGAGTATAGAAGACATGCACAGAGAAATTAAGTCTGTTGCAGAGGAAACCATGAAGGATATTCAGAGTAAACCTCTAGGAGAACTCTGGAAATGAAACTTGATCCACACTATTATCTTCCAGACCTAATGGAAAACTCGCCTCCTGGATCGTTCATGGTAGGATGACTTCCCTGCATCTCCTCCCAGTAATTACAGCGCAGATCACTTGTATTCTTCTATATCCCACATGGTGCTGGAGTCCTTGTGGAGTTATCTGATTCTCCTCTCCATTCTGCATTGTCCCTTCTGTATTTTGTAAATGAGCACGTTATCTTCCCTGTGAAAACCTCCCTGCCTCAGGTAGGACTCCTGTTCTGTTCTCAGCAGTGCTCAGTGCTGTAGTACAGGTGAGGGTACTGAGGCTAAAGCTTTTTCTGGGACAGGGGTAGCAGCAACGGGTGGGGAACAGCTTTCTTGTACATGAAGTTTCAGAGAACTACCATGTTTCTGATTCTTCTGCCTCTTTAATGTATCCCCTATGCTGAAACCAGTTTATAGAGAACTTGCTAATAAATTATTCTTTTAAATGTTTTGTACAGTGGCAAAAGTGCATTTTTGAATATGATACTTCTAGAAGAACATATAGGAGGTGTTATGTTTGCTAAAACTGGAATGAGTGGAAGAGAGATTAATTCATCTCCAAGTCTGCTCCCCTGTTGTTCAATGAGAATGATAAAGCGACTGAGCTGCTGTTAGCAAGGATAAAATACTAAGTAAGAGTCTGAAATACATATGTAGCTCATAGCAAGACCAGTTCAAAGGGTGAGTTGCATGCAACTTATTTAGACTGGTGGAGTTACTCATGTGGCCAAGATCAGAGAAAGAGTCAGCACTGACACCTACACGGACTAAAAGTGCAATTTAAACAACTCAACACAGGCTGCCAAACCTGAGCACCTACGACGCCTGACCTTGCCTAACTTTCTCAGGCTGTACTGTTCTGATCGTTACCTGAAAGGCAATGCTTCTAGGTTAGTCTAGGTTGTTACAGTAAAGCTCTGATTTATAAAACTAAAATGGTGATAGGAGTTTGATATTTGATTATGGTAATTTAAAAAATTCTTTTAAGTCTTCAGCAATAAAAATGCAATAAATTGGAATGAATCAATTGCAAGGCATACTGATACGAAAGATGACCAAAAGAGTTAATTACCTGCAGGATACTTAGCTCTCACTTTCTAGCAATATGGACTGGACTGCTTTTCAAGCTGGCCCAGACAGGAAACTAAAGCCTGCTCTAATTTAGAAAGGCTGATGGAATTGATGCACTAGTGGGGGAGAGGAAGGTAAATACCTAGAACAAAACCGCTAATGCAAACATCAGCTGAAGTGGTATAAGCTCCTGCGTTCGCTCTGCAACTGTGCAGGAGCAGGAACGTTTCTGAGGGAGAGGAGCACCTTTAACGCAGTGAGTATGGCCCTTGGTTTGAATTCTGGCAATTCTACAATATTCAGAGAAGTTATTTAATTCATCTTAGCTTTAGGTTCCTGACTATGAAAAGATCGTAATACCTGTTAAACTTAGTTTACCTGCAATTTCTTATACCTTTAGCTCTATTATCAGGGTCATGTTAAGACTTACCTGAGTGTTATCTGGCTGAGCTGTCCTTATACTAAAGACTTCGCAAAGACAGTATGAACATGAAATAAGTATATTCCTTCTTGGCTGAATACTGACCAGCAGCAGCTCATTCAGATTGAGAGAGAGAGATGTCAGGAGACTAGGCCTCAAATAAAGTACCTGCCAATAGCCAAAAGGCTGTAACCCCTCTGTTGCCAAAGTGCTCTTTCTTGGTGTTACATAGCAAAATAGGAAAGGCAGGTGCCAAGCTGACTACAGCTTTATTTTTGTAAAATTTGCTACTACAGGGCTTGTGTTTAAAAGGCTACCTCAAAATCAAAGAAACAGACGCAACAAAAAGCTGTCAAATGAATAGCTAAACAGGGGCCACACAACCTTGAAGGAAATAAGTTTCACACACTGACATCCAATCTGAACTTCTCTGCCTCTGTTTGGCTTTCCCCCTGCTACCCTCAAATACATGCATAGCAGACACTCACAGAAAAAGCATGTCCTGCCTTGAAGAAACTAAAGCAGAGATGCAGAGCTGCTCAGTAGGGACTGTCTTTCAGTATTGCTGCATTGCCCCATGTTCATTCAGATGACTTTTAAGAATTCAGCTAGCAGAACTGCACTACAGAAGTGGTGTTTCCTCTCTGCCAGTCCAAGATTTTGCAACATCACTAGGAAGCACTGCTAAGCAAATCCTAACACTCTGTCCAGAGCAGGCATCCTGTATATTCTTCCACACCTCCTGTGGCAATCTTGCTGAAAACAGGCATTGGATGCAACAAGGAACATGTTGCCATGCCAAGGACAGGCCTGAGGGCATTAACCTTCTTGGGTGAGGAACATCAACTTTGTTACCACTGACTGCAATCCCAAGCAACCAGCCTGGATTCTATCAGATGCACCAAAGGGAAGATAAAGTTATTGTACACAATTCAACTTTTGCTCCCATCTTCCTTCTATTGCCCTAGAAGAGTAAAAATAGCTGAGCTGTAATTGTTTTAAGAGTATTCCAAACTGCACTGTAGGTTTACCAGATACCACCCCCCACCACGTTTGATTGATTAATGTGCAAGAACATTGGGGAAGACAACAGATTTTAGATTCATTTATTCAGATAGAAATTGAAAGCAGATGGAGCACAGCCCCACCTCTTCTGCTGCCTCCTCCCCTAACTACAAGAGAGGAGAGAAGCAGTCCAAGCAGCAAGTAATAATTTAGTGACAGAAGCATTGCCGTTTCAAGTTCAAACCTCTGCTTTTGGATGGCATGGAGACAGTTAAGAGCATCAGTAGGTCAGTCAAGGAGAAATGGGTCATTTCTAGCCAATTGCCATCACCTTTGGGCACAAAAGCATCAACTGTCAGGTTCTGAGCCTAGATGTACAAAACAAAGCTTTGTAAACAGAACGTAGCCTGCAGCATGCACTAAGGAAACTGTTCAGTTTGCATTAAGGTAACTCTCCTCCACAGTTAATCTTCAGCTGAATTCTGTTTATGCAGATAAGGATCATAGGCAGAACTATTATCTTAAAGGAGCTAAAATTTCCAGCTTAAGGGTGTTGGACCTTTTCACAGCATTCTGTCTTTGCTGACCTCTTTGGGATGATTACTTGTAAGAGATTTCTCCACATTAGCTCCTAGAGTACATTTATGCACACTCTGTGGGGAGGATGAATCTGCAGAAGAGCAAATGAAAAAGTACTAATGCAGCTATGAGGCCTACTCAATCTTCAGGCCCTTTTCTAATTTGGAAAGGGAGCGTCTAACAGGAATAGCTGGAGGAACTGCGGAACACGCTACAGAGGATACTTTGAGAATTTTATAGCCCACATTTTTGGTACCAACAGGATTAATTCACTAGACTACATGCCAACATGCTAGGGCATAGGCACAAGCAGTCCCATGACTGGTAGATTCTCAGTTGTCCTGTTCTGCCCTCTCCCTTCTGTGGACTATTTTTTTCCATGGCTACGGAATCCCGTTCTTTGCTCAAAGCAACTTCCATGACGATACTTTCTGTAGAGATTAATCCCTCCCAGAAGCATAATATTTTATTGACTCACTGAGCAAGAACCCACACACCTTGTTTTCTTCCCCTTCTTCCAGCTGTTATTTGAACTGAGATTATGATGTTTCCTCCTCAGTGGGATGAGTCTGCTCCAGAATCTCCCAGACAGCCTTTTGCTTATTGAATTGCCAGTCAGTTACCTCATAAATTACCCCAGCTGCCTTTTGATAGGATGATAGTGGGAAAGGAGTACTGCTCCTGCAAGGAAGTCCTGTTACACAAAGCATAATGAGGAATTTTTCTGTAGGAAACATGGCCATCCACACTGAGGGCTTCATAGCTGTCTACCTGGGACGTGTGTCTACTGTTAATTTGCATCGTTAGGTGCAGTTCAAGTTGGCCACCGAGAAGCCGCTAAAGGAATTAACTGTACATTTCACCTGCTAAGTTAGGGGTGGCTCTATTTAAGCTTCACAGGGGAGTTCCCATGTAAGGATTTAGCTCTTTAAGGGTTTCTGCTGCTCCCCCAGAAGGCCAACTGACCTGCTTTTGTAACAAATAGGCTTTGAACTCCGAGGCACCACTGCATCCACTTCCAGCAAGTGCTGAGAAATCCTGACTCCAGCCAGTAAGGCTCTAACATCCACTTGGTTCTTCATCCCAACGCAGACAATGCACACTCCATTCAGAGGCTGCACAGAATGCCAGGATGGACAAGAGGCAGGGATGGCAGCAAGCGCCTATGAAAACTGGTAGCCCCAGGCTCTCGAAGGAGCTCCCCCCCCCCTTCCCTGCACATAACACAAATTTGCAGAGTCAGTTTCCTATTTGCTTTCAAAGGGATAAGATTTCAAAGTCTTCATCTTCCGAGTCAAAGAACCTTTCCAATCTGTCGGCATCGGAGGAGTCTGCAAGAGAAAAAGAGAGGACCACCTCCATGGAACATACAGGCTGCTTCGCATCATAGATACCAGCAAGCTGGATGACAGCAGGATTGGAGTCACAGGCCTGGATGTGCAAGAGGTGCCATAACACACCTGAGTAAAGGCTCTGAGGAGGGGTGAGAACTGGCATTGGAGAGAATTATGTGGCGCACAGTAGATAGATACACACACTAGGTTTCACAGTTTCTGGCATAGCCCTTGCGCAGTACAACTTTCTGTTGTGACTGTTCTTTGTACAGTTCTTCCTGTGCAGCAGCTCTGTATCAGAATACAGTTCTGCCTGAAGAGGCTCAGATGGGAGAACTTGCTTAGGTATGTATTAATATCCGCTAAGAGTCATGGCCCAATTAAGTCATACAGGAATGTTGCTTTTTCCATGTACTAGAATGGGCGACTCATTTTCTGCTATAGTTGTTTTTGATGCAAATTATTGGGGAAAGGAGCAAAAGTAATTGCACACCTTGCCAGAGGCTGTCACTCAGCTGAATCCAACTGTGGAGTAAGCCCTTGTTCCATCAGAGAAGACATTTTCAAGTTACCTCAAGAACTCGTTATAGTGCAGTCATTTGAGCAGTGTTTTGCCTCATTGCACCCTATTCCCTTTTCTGCTTGTCTTTATCACTCATGTCCCCTCCCAAAAAGCAATTAATACATTCCACTTTGCAAGGGAGGGGAAGATATTTGCTCCCGCATGTCCTTCCAACTCCATGATGAAGAGGAGCACACACCTACAGGGGAAGCAGCTTTACCATAGGGGAAATTCAGGTGAGAGGGTGTGGACAAGGCTGGGAAGTAGAGAAGCAATCTACATTAGCTCAGGCTTCAAGAAAGCATGCACTAGATTTGGTAAGAACAAACAGCCAGCCAAAAGCTCAACTGCAGCAGTGGATTGTTAGGGACAGAAGTGCATGGGCACAAGGCTACAAACCCCTTCGTACATTTTGTGACAAACTGTTTAATCCTACGACGGTGCGCACAAATGTTGGTGTGACTGTTCCTGATCAAACAGGATGCTGGCAGCACAACTTCTAGAGATGCTCCTCAGAGGAGTTGCCCCCTTCACCTAAGTAAAACAGTGGAGTACCCAACCAACTGGGGAAAACGAGAACAAGGGATTGGACATTCATGAGAATATCATTAATCCCTCCAGCAAGAGCTAGGATGGTAAGAGAAATGGAATGGCCATAATAGATGGGAGTGGCCCTACAACCTCAAAAAGGGGGAGAGAAGTAAAAGACAAATAGCCCATTACAAAAACATTTTTAAGAAGGGGAAAAAAAAAGGCAGAAATTAGGAACAATTTAATACAGACAAGGATCAATAAACAGTTTTAGGGAATTGAGCACTCTTGGAGGAAGAGTGATATGGAAGGCTTTGAAAGATTATGCTAAGAGAGAGAAGGAGATACAGGGAGAAATAGAAAGACAGGTCAGAGTGCAGGACACAAGTGACAGGACACAATCCAATGCCTAGTGATAGGGGAAATTTATCCACACATACTCACTCCTCTCAGCAGTAGCTGTAAATGGCTCTTTATCTCCTGCAATGTTCATGGCCATTATTAACATGATTAAGAGTCTCGCGGAAGAGATACTGCCCAGCAATCGTTCCTTTTTGCATCATCAGGGCTAGGCACATGCAAGAGGAAGGAATCCCTTACACTGGAACTAAATTTTACCAACACTGTCTTTGACTGTTTCCAGTACCCAGAGGCTCAGTGGTTCTCAGCCTTGCCAACGAACCCTTACATTTTCTCCAAACATTCCTTTAGAAATCATAAGTTCAGATTACTGTAACAGCTTGTGAGCTTGCTTTTTCCAGTCACCATTCACAGGCTCAACCTGAAAATAAATCTGAGATGCTGTGAGATCTGTTCAGAGCCAAAGAATGAGATCAATTGACCTAAGACCTCCAGATCAAACTCTAGGCCAAACAGGAACAAACCAGAAGTTCCTGTGCAATCTACACATTTTCAGAAAACCAAAGGGACAAGCTCACCCTTAGCTTTGCCTTCCTGTGTTGCCTTACCTGGTGTGAGATTCAGAACATCAGGGTTGGAGAAATGTGATGGCTGGCGTTCTACCAGTTCAAACATTGGCAATGCTCCTCTTACCAGGGACAGCTGTGGAGCAAGAGCAGAGCTGTGAGAACACACACCTCTGTACTCAAGGTGTTCTGAGTCTTAAGAGAAGATGCCAATTTGTTGGATTTCAGTGCACCGGAAAAAACATTTTCCAAATCTTTGATTCATATCAGCAGCAGAATTTCAGAGCTATCTTCTTTCTGGTACTTTAAAATACTATTTCTGTACTCTTTAAAATGGGATCATGCTACAGAGAACACACTGTCTCTGCCTTAATTTGGAAATTCCACAATAACCTGTGTTCCTTTCACAATGATATACTTGAACACAAACCTTTTTGATTTGCTGGCACCAATCATTAAAGTCCTCCTCTGTGTTGCAGAAAAAGCCCTGAAAAAAGAATTCATTATCTTTGTATGACTATAAATTGATCATTTCAGTCGTAAGGCCTTATATTAATGCCAAGCAACATGACCAGGGCTGCGAGCAGTTACAACACTTCAAATTGCCTTCCTTTAAACCACAGATTACAATGCCCTGCTAAACTGTATACTCCCCATAGACTCAATGTAACCTGACTATCCAAGTGCTGGAAGCAGCAGTTTAATAAGTCTGCTCTCCAGCAGGAGGAATCTTGGATAGAAACAGTCCATTGGAAACAAAGGGCAGTCATCTCAGACGCAATATTGAAGCCACATTGAATCCAACAGCATAACAGGATTCAGATCAGCCCTTCAAAAGGGATCAAAGCCCAAACTAAATCTGAGAGGAGACTCCGCCCCATGGAGAAAGACACTTAACTGCTACGCAACTGCTACGCAAGGGGAATTTCGCTGTACCGAACTGCCTCCTACAAGAGGAGCTGCTTTACCAATGTTATTGTTACTGAAAGCCATTGGTAGCACTTGCCCAGAACACAGTACACCTGTGGAGTACCCAACCTGTCATCCCTTCCTTTGCCCTGGGGAAAGTGACTGCTGAGAACGTGAGGGACCATCACACTGCTACTTCAGGTGATCAAGAGCCAGCACGGAAACATGCAGCAAGAACGCACCACCGCAATGGAAGGGTCAAGCTCGGCAATGCTCATTCTGCAGGGAGGGTGCTGGCAGTGGAAGCTTTCATCAGGGAGACAGCCGTTCTCGTTGGGCTCCACTGCAGGCTGTGTAGTGTGGGGATCCAGATAAATGAGCTCCTCACCTGGACAGACAGGCAAGGAGACATGAACAGCAAGAATCATGCCTGAAGTTGTTCTTCTGAGAGGCAAATGGTGAGATACAAGCAGGAGGAAGAGTGATGAAAGAGACGGCTCTAGAGTTCCTACACGGGAATCCATGTTCTAGGGACAAATTGCTTTCAGCTGCTTCCCCAGAAGCTTCTCATCTAGAGAAAGAGCCAGCTGTCCACAGAAACACAGTGCCCACTCTGCAGGGGCACTCTGGGCTCAAGGAACATGCACTGTTTGGATACTGTTCCTGCACAGGTCTTCTAGGGTCCTGTGCATGCTGAAGTCCGCCCAAGAAATCTGAAGCACAATCAGCTTGGGGTCTCAGACAGAGAGCAAAAGGACAGAAAGGAGGAGAGCAAAGGGACAACAGTTCATAGGGTTTCAGAAAGGTAACAACTGAAGGACAGCTCCGAGCTCCTGTGAAGGGAGGTCAGCTCTGCATCTAGAAAGAGGTCACTATACAGACATCTTTGCAGATAGGTTTTAGCGTTATACAGTGGAAGGTTTAAGGCTTGTACTATGGCACTTGCCCCATGCTACATCGCCCAGATCCTTCAAAGAGGTTCAGCCCACAGCAGCCTTCCACTCCTCCTGGAGGAAAGAGGAACCTCACAGCATGCCCCATAGTATAAGCAGGAGAGCTGTAGTGCCCCAGGAGCATTTCCAGCTGGGGACGTGGGGGGAGATGCTTGGAAACTCTTTGCAGTACTCTGTGGAGATGGCTGGGCACTCACCTACGTAGCCAATGAAGTAGTGGGCACTGTTTGGTTTCCCTCCGATCACTCCCAGGGACTGAGGCATCATGAAGCAGTGCTGCAAGAGCAATACAGAAAACACACAGCTGACAGACAATGAGACAACAAGTGGCAACAAAAGCAAACAACCAAAAATACAGTGGGAAGGAAAGAG